TGTAAACCGAAAGTACGATTCCTGCGATTTACATTTATATATAAAACTACAGATAAAAAGAAATCGTTTCAACGATTCTATTAATCATCTATTATATTCAGTATACTAAAAAGAAAACAAAAGAGTATAGTATCCAAATGTATAAGAAAAACAAGTGTACATATTTGCTCATGACTATAGCACGAAAGAAGTATATAGTAGAATATACATACAAGACGATAAAGTAACAACATAGGCAGACATACAGTAGGAAAAAATATAAACTTTACTAGACAAATATAGAAACTTTGATTTGACACATAAGAATTACTTTGTATTTATAATAAGTTACTTAATAATAAAAATTTTTACTTGCCAAATATAATTTATTATTAGGATTTTAATTTATTAACTTAGCAAATAAATAGTTTCCAAATAAAAACATATCAATATACATTCAAGAAGTTCTTTAAAATTTGATTATTATTGTTTATATGAACATTACGTCCTCAAATTCGAGCTGTCCTATTTTAATTGTTTCCTTCATTTAAAAAAAACGTTTATTATTATCAAGATTATTAAGAGGATACCAAAAAAACTGCAAAAAAGAAATACAGAATAAACGTGTTAGTGAACGCATAATGAAAAAACAAATAGAAAAAAAGTTGTCGGAGTCTCTTTGACTCCACAAATGTCTCTTTTTTCGAAATAGTCCTTGTGGTCAGACCAAACAGCCAACAACTCACAAATACCTGTCTAAGCAGGACAATCAAGAGTTTTAATACCAACTCTCGTATCAGCACTAATACCATTTTCATAAATACTATTATCACAACGCTCACCAAAATCATAATTAGGACTATAACGAGCACGACGACAAGCAGCAGGAGTACCATTATTATCACAAGGAATACAATTAGTCGTGGCACAACAAGTAGCACTATTGCACGGTGGTAGTGTTGAAGCTAAAATAGACAGTTACAGAAATTTGATTATTAGATCAAAACTAGACGTCTAACACATAAATTCAAAACTCAAAGCTTACTTATGCCCTCATACTTTATCATATGTTCTATGAAACCAAAGAACAGTACAAAAACATTGGCTGACTCAGTAAAGAATAGTTCGATTATGGAATCAGAAGCACCATTCTTAAGGGGCAGAATTAAAAGTTTTGTGCTAATATCGGAATGATATTTCCGGTTTCAGAACGGAGGTAGTTGATATGAAACCTGACATTTATAAGCAAGAATACACATCAGATCACCATATTACATTTTGGTATCTTTTGCAAATAGCTCCTTAGGATATCTAACTCGAATAGGAGTCTGTGCTAATGTCAAAAAGTACGATATTTAACGGTGAGGTAGTACACACAACTCAAGTGTTGATCGATACCTAGAAGTATCTTGATATGAGAGAAAAATGAAATATATTCAAAACAGATTGAAGATGTGGATGATGATAAGGATTGCAAAGCCCACTCACATCCTCACACCGCTTCCATAACATTTCTCTTACTTAATATTATGTCCATTGGACATGATCCGTCCTCATCGTCTATTATGTTTGTTTTGATTTCATTTATATTCCCCTTATATTATTTCCTCCTTCTTAAATTTCTTAGTTCTTCCATACATGTTTCGCTCTCTACATCCTACTCTCACCTTCACATTCTTTTTCTGCCTTCTCGTCTTCAGCTCTCTAAACTGGCAGAGTATATACAGTAGGGATTTTATCTTGTTTGTCGTCATCTGGTACATCATACATATATATAACTACACAGTACAATATTAAAGAAGGACGTAATTGCAGACAGGACAACAATTGTCTGACGCATCAAGATATCCGGAAGTTCCTTATGATCCTACTCATCATAGGGTAATAACTTTTCAGACGTGAATAACTCATTTTGCACGAACAAACTATACTTAGAAAAGACGTAAGAATGGTATAATGAACTAGTATGTCGTATGTTTCAGTAGACAGACTCTTTCTAAATATATTTGTATATAAATAATCAGGACAAAGCAGCTGAAAAAGTATATTTTTTATGAAGATTCTTTCTGATAGGGTTTGGTTGCATATGAAATTTGCAACATCTTATGGCATCAGAGTTCTCAACCATCAATTGTTATTGTTAATCTCATTAAGTGATTCGTTCACTGCTTCTTAGAAATATGTGAAATTTAAAAAAAGATTGGACATCTTACCTGTAGCTTTTTTGCAAAATCCTGACGTATATCCAGGGTAAGAACCAGGCTTTCCATCTACATGGACCATTGGATTACAGTCAAAGGTAGCTTTTCTAAAACTCCAGGCCACACAATCTGGAAATGACTGACAGCGATCGCGACACTCTTCAGCGGTATTTGTTGTTGCGGACATTGGATTCCATGACCCATCATACGTATCTGCATCATTAATATCTTGATTCACGAGCATTTCACCACAGATGTTTGTAGACCCAGCTAAAAAAAATGAGTTAATTGAATTCATGTATCTTGAAAAACAACAACAAATTCAATTTAGTAGTAAGGTAGTACACACAACTCAAGTGTTGATAGATACTAGTGAACCGACAACTGTTACATTGCTTAATGACTACTATACAGTATTTTCTGTAATTAAAGAGATAATAAAGTGATAATTAGTTGTATTAATTGATGCTTCGGTTGTGGATATAATTTATGATTTGGAAATATATTATAAGAACCGTACGCAATATCTTACTTGATTTTCTAGTACAAAACTTGAGGGTGGGCGTGGATGTGGCTGGATGAGGGTATAAGGTGGGTGTGGCGTAGTTTTCAGCGTCTTCTCATTAATCGCCCTCACGCTAACCCCCACCCTCTTATCCACACCCATACCCATATTCACTCTAAATATATTTCATATCTCAATTCTAACGGATTGACAGAAGCACTTTTTGTGAGTTGGGTTGTCTTATTGGCTTTCTATTTATGGACACGAGTTGATCTATAAACATTATCATTAATTTATCTACCACTTTGCTTTCTAAGATGTTTCTAGTAAGTTATATGAATCTTCAATATTCTGAATATCACTTACAATGCATTTCAACCATCTCGATGGTTTATTCACAATAAATCTACTCAGTATAAAAACACTGTACAAGAAACTGTTTTCCACGAATGTGGTAAAGATCCTAAGTATTCAGTCTTACAAGGAAATTGTGTTAACTTCGACCAGCTGACACATGGGATATTTCAACTATATTTATTAGTGCAAATACGTGTGCTAAACATATACGTGAATACTCAATTTAGTAAAATATCAGCATACTAATACTCATCTCTTAAAGAGATTAATATAAACTGAAAATCAACTAAATATATGACGCTGGTTATTATCTATATCAATTACTTTTCCCTACGAAGAATTGAAATGGCTTAAATCAGTATAAAAACTTACCTGAATTATCACGCTTCCACGCTGCAGATCGAAGGCTCTCGTCACTATCTTCGTCTTCAATAAGTTGTTGCGCAAGACGTCGAAGGAACATATTTCTCTGCTGATTCTTGTCATAATTGTAAGCATGAGTTCGTCGACGTAATGCTTGAAGGTACGAGTCGTGTGTTGCAACTGATGAATGTTTCGCAGCAATTGTAACGAGGACTATAATCGATGCAATAATCGTAGACGAATGCATTTGATTGTTGTTGTTTGCTGTTGAGTGATGATATGAGATTGAGTGTTGATTGATAGAAAATCGATCGGTATATATACAGTCGGTTGGCAGAGGCGCTTATTCAACCAGAACACGGTCTTGTTTCAAAGGAAAGAAAAGAATTACCAGCTAAAGTATGTTGTGTAATCAACCAGAACACGGTCTTGTTTCAAAGGAAAGAAAAGAATTGCCAACTAAAGTATGCTGCGTAATCAACCAGAACACGACGTTGTTTCAAGGGAAAGAAAAGAATTACCAACTAAAGTATGCTGTGTAGTCAACTAGAACACAGTTTTGTTTTGAAGGAATAGAAGATGGATATTTGTTGTTTAGAATCATATGAATAGAACACGCTGTTGCCAAATCACATCATGGCGTAACACAAGCCAATTTTACTCGTTGTGAAATGAAAAGAAAATAAAGCTGATCAATTTACTTGCTGCCAATCTATATATTAATTCTTTTGCTTGCTTTTCAAACGTTTACTTACAAAATGTATTTCACACAAAAAGATAACAGAAACATTATCGTTCGACAAATGAATTATTCTTTTTATTTATTATATTCATTCATTGAATCAAGCTTTATACACATATGTTGTTGAAAATAAATTTTGTAATTATTGTATTTAGTGACAATATTCTAGACATAATGCTAGTTTTTTTTTCTTGAAATATAATTTATTTCAAACATTAGAAATAAATTTTGAAGTCATTGATATTTCATTCGTTAAATTATTTCAAATAAGTGATAGGAATGGATAATAATATTTTTGAAAACATATTTGCATTACAAAAGCCAATATTTACATAAGCAATTTGTAATTTTTTAATAATAATTCAGCTAAATTAGACGCTTTGTTTTGATATTTGTTAGAATCAACGTTGTTTTTCAGCAATTTATATTTATAAAGAATGTTTGCTAGTGTTTTATGTCAAACAATAATCAATGTCTCTTTATCTTCGTTCCTCAAGCAAAATATATGAGAGCTCTCTCGTATAAATTTATTATCAAGGTATTCATACACTTTGTTAGCTATTCTGTAGCTTATAAGTGGTGTCATACGAGATTCTTGACTTAACTTGCATTTTAAAACAATGTATAACAAATTCGAATTTCGATACGTGAAAATTTGCCTATTAACTTGCTTCGACGTTCGTGAAGCAAATGAAAGCACATGTTTCGTGCATTTGATCACTGAAACAACGGCGAGTTATGGTTGAATGATCGCATATCATCAAGCTTGTATATGCTTTTTTTTGTTCTGTTAGATTAAGATTGTATACGTATTGAGTTTTTATGATGATATGAGTCATCAATCGCGATAAAATGTATTTGCATATAGATGTACACAACTAAACAATGTTTTGAACACATTGATTGTATTAAATAACATGAAGAATAAAAACAGCAAAAGACAATTTTGAGAATGTGAAGATAAAAGATAATAAAGAAAGTTACATTCAAACTCGTAAATATCAATTTCAAATAATGATGTCAAGATCCTATGAAATTTTATTTTTTCATGAAGTAAAAGATTATTCTGGGATAATATCTTTCATCGAACTTGTAAAGAAATAAAGTTAATGATATTTGTAAACAATGCTTGATTGATTGAATTATCAGAAATTGATCAAATATACAAATTGTACCTTGTTTAAATGTAATAAATCCAGTAATGGTAATGAAAAGAGATTGTTGGTGAAACTATCATTAGTTCTTATTTGGTTTTCTTCAATAATTCTTCTGATTTCGAAATCTGAGGTTTTTTGTTTAATATTGAATTAAATAAATTCAAACCTATATCTATAGGAAGGAATTGAATTAAAATATCTCGAATCTCATAAAATCTTCCATATTTTACATAGATAAAAGGAAATTAATAATCAACATAGAGTTCATAAAATAATCCTAATTACACCCACCCTTCAAAGCATAATAAACTTTAGGAATAAAGTAGTAAAGAGTAATAATTTTGATGAAACAATCTGTTAAAGGTCAATCGAACTAGGAACTTTTATTATTTGGACTGATAGTAACGATAAAGAATCGAGTGAAATCTGATATTTTACGGAGAGTGTGGGTGTGAATTAAGAGAAAAAATATTCACAACCACACTCCTACTATCTATATTACTGTCTATGGATTATAACTATTTTGCGAAATAAAACTATGCAAATGGTTATATTTCAAGTAGAAATTTAATCTGATTACAATTGTAGCAACTTTTACAATGAAAGCTACTTTAATTTTTAAAAAGTAGCAGATAATTTAAAGAAACCATGAGTAAGATTTTATTTTCATTTCAATTATTACGAAATAATTAATATAAGATTGAGAGAAGCATATTAACAGATCGTTATTTTTCTCAATTATCTTTTGCATTAATTTTTCAATCCATAAACGTGCTTCTGAGAAATAACTTTTAATTAATATATGTCACTGTTATAATTTACAAAATTTATACTTCATTTTCGTAAACAGAAATTTACTTTCGCTGAAGCGAAAAAAATTAATTTTTTTATTCTAGTCAATTATATATTAAAAGGTCAAGAATTTTATTTTTAAGAAATGAGGAAAGTTTACTACGAAGACTTATAATTTAATGCATCTACCACAATTCAAATTACATTTTGTACTATTTGGACAACAATATTAATCATCATCAAAAGATACACCTTATAAAGATTATTTAAATCAAAACTATAAACAAAAATGAAATAAACATTGACTTGAAGAAAAGCACAACAAGTATATTGATTACTATGTGATTTGGAACATATTTGATTCATTGGACAAACAAGATGTGATGACCTACATCGAATGAGAGCTTTATTCTATGGTGAAATTATTGATTTCAATCACAAATATATTCAAATGAGCATAACACTTAAACCATTCGAACCAGAAAGCATACTCTCGAATTTAAGTTTTTAATTTTGAAAATCTAATGAAAAATAACTTGGACATGAATTTAATCATTAGTTATGTTTACTGAAATAACACGTGTAATTTAGATTTATTCTGATCAACATAAAATTCAATTGATGAAAAACTGAACGGTGCAGAGAGCGAAACGAGGCAGTATTTTGCTACTTCATCTCGCCTCGGTCTTTTTTAGATGATATAGACACTAATTTTCAGAATATCGTCTATGTTAAAAATTTAATTTAATTTTGTGATATTTGCAATGTGTAGTGCATTAGATTTTTGATTAATTTATTCGACTCAATTTTATCTCCTGATAAGCCAACAAGAAATATCAATAACAAAGAAAAAGTTCGTAAAGAATGTTTTACGCAGTTGGCAGCTTTATTCTGTTATTTTCAATTGATCGTAGAAACAATCCGTCCTGCAGCACAAAATTCTTGTTCCGCTGCTGTGGAACTATATGGAATGGAAAAATAGATTCATTTTCTTCTGAACAAAACATGGAGCCGACCAAGAAATACCTTGTCCTGAAAATCAAACTCGGTGTAGTTGTCAAATTCATCTTTTATTGGTTTCGATTTCTTTCGTTTTGATGCTTATATGTTATGATTCATTAAAGATTCCATAAATAATTTTTGCCGTTTTTGCTTAGGTTCAGAAGCTAACATGTCTTCATCTTGAATACTATCAATGGCATTTCGATATATCTGATGCCGATAATCTGAGTCAATGTAGCAAATCTCAATGTTTTATAGTTTGAATGTAGAAAGGCACCCATCACACGGATAGCGTCCACTTGAAACATCGAATTTATTAGTTGTTAAGCAAGTTTAGACAAGAATTTCAAACCTAGATGAAAATAAAACATATTCTTTTGCCTTTCGAGTGTACAACTGATGCGTGTTGTCTAATAGTTATAGCATCGAGTCAATTCGATATGTTTTAATTCAAATATACTTTACTGATTTAATCTTAATGTTTCATCGTACTATATATTTTCATCTGATGAAAAGGATGACAATCAAAATGGCAGTTATGTTATAATGTAATAGATGTTTTTTTTAATAAACTAACTTCTCACACTCTTCTGATAGACTTGCTATTTGAACGAATTAGTAAATACACATAGGAAAATAAAAGAAAGGAATTGTTTTGTCTTTGTGTTAGAATCAATAATCGTTTTTCATTTCATTCACTTTCATTTTGACATCGTTTTAAATCTATTATTTTTTCTTTTTAGATTAATTTATTATAAATTAAATTATAATTCAGTAATAAATTCTTCTGAATGTTCTTCAATTTCACCTGATGTTCCATCATCTTCATCTATATCTTTATCTATACAACTAATAAACATTGATATGAATAATAGATCAATTTTGTTCGAAGCATATACTACAGATAGTACTACTCTTTATCTTCATAAATATAGCATTGCTTTTTTCGTATAGTTTCGAAGAAAGAATATCTACGAGCTGTACCGGAATTATAAAACAGTTCAGTTGTTGATAAAAATACATCTTCGTCTTAACGGAAATTCTTTTGATTACCAGCTAATATATTAGGTCCAGATAGATACAAAAAAGAATAATAAAAAAAATTTGCATCATGTAAAAAGTGTTATCAAACATATTCCTATTCACGATCATCATCAACAACAACACTTTCAAACCAGAAATGTTCAGCTTTAGATAATATAATTCAATGAAAACTACAGACATTAGTTATATCGAAATAAATCCTATCATCATCACTTACTCATAGTAAATCGAATGACAAAAAAAAAGCTTCATTCATTACACTTACGAGTGACTGAATATGTTGGTTTAATAAATATAATTCATCATTAATTATTCTGCTTCAACATTACCTCAAAACAATACACTACAACGATTCTTCTTCAATTATCAGCTGACGCAAAATGTATTTTGGTTGCCATCATCCATTGTAATGAGTGGGTGAGATATGTAAAAAACGTAAATTTAACAAAATGAAACACGCTGAATAATATAAATCAGTTTTTCTTCTAGATAAATTTGAATCAAGCACTT